TACCCATGTGGGTAGAAGGGTTCTGGGATCATAGTTGAGCTCAGCAGGGAAGAGGGCTGCGTTTACATAGCAAAGTGTGTCACGGATTTGGGGAGGAGCAGTAACAGCGCACCTCTCTCTACCAGCCTCACCAAAGCATTTCATGGCATGGAGGGCTGGGTATGGATGGCGCCACTCCGGCCTCATCTGTGGTGGCGGCAGGCGAGATGCGTGCCGTGGGGCTCCCTAGTTGCTTTCTGTTGTCTTCATGCAGAGTGAAGACCTCACAGAGAATGTCAATTTGGATCCCAGCTGATTATGGAGGAAGTCACTTTCTGTCCGAAATCCAAAAGCTCACCATCTAACCCTGGTGTCTGGGCACGTTTCTGTGAACCGTTAGCGCCTAAAGGCACATGCCTTGTAGCTGGTGATTCTGTGGCCCTGATGCTTGTCAACGTAAACATTGGCCATTGGAGCCTATCTCTGTAATTGCCTCACCGAAGGAGAGCATTCCTAGTTAACATGAAAAGAAGGACATGTCTACAACCTCGGGGACAGTCATTGTTCCTGTGACAGTGAACATGGCTGGGTTTGGGAATATAGTAGGTGGCTAGAGGCAATCCCCATCAGTAACAGGAAAAGCAGGACTGGTGTTCTGGGAGCCTTGAAGCCCACCCACTGTGATAAAAACAAAGGGAAAGAGCGCCCCCGGGTTGCACTGGGGGTGATTTTGTTGTTTTTGCCTCAGCTCTCTCTCTTCTATCAATACCTACTGTATGAGAAGCCACTATGGCAGCAAGAGAGAAAGGAACCCAAAGACAGCTGTCTCTCGTCTCTTAGGAAGGGTCCTAAGCATGAGCAGGTCCAATAAGATTGGAGGTCCTAGGCCTGTTTTCCGATTGTCTGGGCAATGTGGGATCCTGACAATGAAAAACCATCGCTCAGTCAGGGGTCCTTCTTTGCCTGCACATGAGTTACACTGTTCTAACCCAAACCCCATCCCTTTCACTGTATCACGCCCCTCCTCTGGCTCACATGCGCACACATCCTACTTCCGTTTTCCTGTATTGAAAGTTTTGCTCTTTTACACGTTATGCAAAAACATTTGGCTTTTTATTACCCAGACTGAAGCTCTGATTAAGAAATAATGCTGCTTCTATTGCAAGCAGTTCTGTTTTCTAACAAATAAAAAGGACATCATCGTCTTTTGTCCCTTTGCCTCTTGCTATCGGCGTCTACACTTCTCTCTTTCTTCTATCTCTACTTTTTTTTCCCTTTTTTCCTCATCCTCTTCTGTTTATCATGGTTCCCTTTTCCTCCCCCTTTTCTTTCCACTCCCTAACACCCCATCCTTCCAGGAGCATTAGGTATAAATGCAGTTTTGAAACATTGCATCCCCGGAATGAGGACACAACCATGCGATTATGCCTGACTTGTGTGGGCTCCACCATGCTGTCTTCCAATAATGCCTGGGAGTGAACTTTGCTGCCTAGATGTAAAGGTCACATGCTTGCAACAAGGAAACACCTCCTGGTTCACGCCCTAAATCTTAGGAAGAGGATACTGGGTTTATGTCAGACTGTTCTCCATAAGAATTAGCATTTAAAGGAGTCTGGAAGTTTGCAGGAGTTGAGGCAAGGGGAGGGTGTTAGGCATAGCAAAGTAAGTTAGCGCAGGAAGGGAGGGAGTGAAGAAAGGAGAGAGGGAAAGCGCTGGAGAGATAATGGGAAGCCTGGCAGGAAGACGAGACTTCTCATTGATCCTTTTAGTGACTGCTCTGTCTGGCTGGCTCGTTGGGGACAGCTTCCAGCCTGTTTCTATGGGAGTTATAGGAAGGGACACAGTTCTCGTGTCTAGAGCCTGACTGTGTGCGGACACCCCCATGGTCTTTGTGGTTGTCTACTGTGGCCTGGCAAGCAGCAGTGCAGTGATGGGAGGACCTGGGGGCCAGATAATCATTCAACCCCAAAATGTCAGAGAAGGGGCCACTTTTAGAAATGCCCNAATCAAGAACCCCGGCTGCTATGAGCAGCAGAAAAAGAAGGAGCTCAGTGTAGAGAAGTTGGTGAAAGGTGGGAGGCAAGAGAGGGAGGGAAGACATTTCCTGCAGCACAGGGGACTCCTGGGACCCGTTTTCGAGATGGACCCTTTATTTAGTGCGAGTCCTGCATTTACGCCTCTCTAATGGCCAGCGGTAGAATCAATAGAAAACCTGCTGCCTAGTTAATAACGGGGCTGTGAGGTGGCAGCCGCGAGCACGTGGGCTGTGGGATCCATGGGCTGACAAAAAGACCATTGCATGTTGACTTTTTCACTTTTCTTTCTCTTTCCCCAGGGCAGCCACGGAGGTTCTGGCAGCACTGCTGAAATCCAGTAAGCACCTCTTCTGAAAAGTGGTTCTTTCTTTTCCCTCTGAGTTCAGTGAGGGATGCTTTTCTGTCTCCATGGCTCATTTCCAACCTGGAGGGCAGTAGAGCTATTCTGGGCTCTTTGGAGGTGAGATGGGAGAATGGTACGGCTTTTCCAAGCACCAGGCTGCAAAGAGAGAGTTAAGATCTCTCTGTGTGGACGTGCGTGTACATAATGCCATTAAGACAATTGACTCTAAAGGGAGTACGATATCGACCGCAGACCTGAAGAACTTTCTACCTCCTTCTAACAGGACCAGTAGCCCGTAGAGAATGTTTCATACATGCACCAGGTTCCTGTGGGATTGGCTTATAGAAGAAAAGGTTGTGACAGTGGCTGAGAAGCAGGGTTCTTCTGTTTGGCTCCCAGCTCTGCCTGTGTCTCTGTTTGCTTGGGCAGGTGGGGTGTTGGGAATTGCTTGGACAGCGTAGATGTTGATAACAAATTTATATTAAAAAGTTGTCTCTTTTCTCAGTTACTTGAGTAATTGCAAAAGAATAGCTCTGGGGGCGGGGTCTGAATAATTTGAGGATTGTTTTTTCTTGCCTATAGTAGCCCATGTCTAATTACACTGGGAGTCAATTTCATGTGTGCAGTATAATAGGAGGCATCATGTACTTGGGAGTGAAAAAGTCTTAGCTTAATGTGTTCATTCCCCCCACCCTTACCTCTTCATCTATTTTAATTTGGCAGCTTGGAAACCAGCTGCTTCAATGGTGATATTTGTTTCTCTGTAGGGAGCCCAAGGCCTGTGGGTAAGAAGTGAACTTTAATAAAACTTATAAATAAATAAATAAAAATAAAAACACCTTCTCCCCCCAGCCATACATCTCTGTCAACTCTGAGTGCACGGAAAGGCCCATATCACATAGTGCTTGCTTCCTTTTGTCGACTGGAAAAAAACAAACACGAAGCTTGAGGTCATTTGGTTTATGGGAACTTGATCCAATACACAAGTCTTTCCACAGCTTCCTGACGCGCAGGCAGAGAGAAGGTGCTTAGAGCAGGTTGGGGAAGTCAAAAGGGAAGAATTAAGCCCTTGAGACAGGATGGGGATGTAAAAGTGTCACCCGAAGGTCATGGCAGAGAAAGGTCGGGTCATCCCTGAGACTGGGCTTGACTCAGGTTTTGCGCCTCGGTTCTTATTGTAACCTGCTCACTCTGTCGCTCCCCATGACAACTCCAGGTGTTT